CCTATTTATCTTTTATCTTTCACTAATTGAGTGCAATTTCTTAAGAGAGTAGAACACAACAAGCCCATACATGAAGGCTGAGTCAAAATAGAAAGGAAGACAAGTCACAGAAGTGCAAGTGATGGAGATATTTGTGTTAAATTAAAAAGGATAACAGGAAAGTAGGAAAGCTGACGTAGTTTGTTCTTCAACAGATGAATGTAACAGTAGAGATTGCTAATTTCACAGAATCACAGAATCAAGAACAGTTAAGGTTGGAAGGGACCTCTGGAGATCATCTAGTCCCAACTCCCTGCTCAAGCAGGGTCATCTAGAGCATGTTGCCCAGGACTGTGTCCAGACGGGTTACTCACTACCTCTCTGGACAACCAGTTCCAGTGCTCAGTCACCCTCACACCAAAGAAGTTTTTCCTCAGGTTCAGACAGAGCTGCCTGTGTTTTTCAGTTTGCGTCTACTGCCTCTCGTCCTGTCGCTGGGCACCACTGAGAAGAGTCTGGCCCCATCCTCTGGACACCCTCCCTTCTCATACACATTGATCAAATCCCCCCTGAGCCTTCTCTTCTGTAGGCTGAACAGGCCCAGCTCTCGCAGCCTCTCCTCATAGGAGGGATGCTGCAGGCCCTGCATTATCTTAGTAGCCCTTCGCTGAAACTCACTCTAGTAGCTCCATGTCTCTCTTGCACTGGGGAGCCCAGAACTGGACACAGGACTCCAGATGTGGCCTCACCAGGGCTGAGGAAAGGGGGAGGATCACCTCCCTCGACCTAATGCTCTTCCTAGGCAGCTTAGGATACCATTGGCCTAAAGGGCACATTCCTGGCTCACGGTTAACTTGTTGACCGCCAGGACTCCCGGGTCCTTCTCTGCAGAGCTGATTTCCAGCAGGTCAACCCCCAGCCCGTACTGGTGCCTGGGGTTACTGCTCCCTAGGTGCGTGTTCCCATTCAATCAGAGTGTAAAGCACAGGTAGGACTCAGAGAACAATAGCTGGGATAAAACATTAAAACGCTTTTAGAATATTACACAAAGGATTTTTGGTAGCAATTCTGGACTGCACAAGTCAGGAAGAGAGTAAGCTTAAGGAATGGAGTGTCTATATATAAAGAAAGTGCTCAGCATCACTGTAGGAAACTTATGGGCTGTAGTGTTCAAGCACTCTGAAGAACAACTGTCAATGCAGAGCTAGAAGAAGGAAATCACAGATCTTTGAGATCTTTGAGCAAATAGAAGAGTAAATATTACTGTTATTTAACTTTAACCAACACTAAATATTACAAGTAAAAATATCTACTATTTTTAATAGCTTTACTCTGAATAACAAAAAACTGTATTACTCTTTGAAAAGCACTTAACAATTCCTTCTCAAATTATGTTACTGAAATAATGGAACAATTAAGACAAAAGAAAAGCAATACGGTATCTTGCTGCAGTGCAAACAAGTGGAAATAGCATAATTTGTACATGTAAATAATGATCTCCATAAATCATTTGAAGCTTCACTATGAATTATGTTTGACAGAAGTGAAGAAGTGAACACTGCTTTTCAATAGTTTTCCAACTCTAAATACTGGCTGAAATAATTAATGCAAATTAAATTGCAACTCAGCAAATTTATTTTTCCATATACCCTTTCCTAAGGCGACATATACCATTCAGACAAATGCCTAACACCTGCAAAAAGAGGGTAGATATTTATTAAGAGTGAATCACTACAGATTTTCCTTAAATACAAATATACCCTTTGGGTGACTCTACCCATTTAAAGTACCATTATAAAATTGACTAATTTTGCCTGCATAAATGATGATAGCTTCATTTTCAATTCAGTGAGGCAAAATATCCAGTTGCCAGTGTGTTTGCAAGCACCACAGCAGGACATAGTACATAATAAGAGTGCTCTCCAAGATGCAGGCTTCAGGCTTTGCTACTGGGAAACAGGTGTTCCAGTCACTCTGCAGAGTCAGCACTGCTCTGCTTGTTCTTACAGCTAGCTAATCTTCCCCTCTACCCAAACAGTTCAACCAGAAAGGTGCCACTGCTCATATTTACTACTGTCGTTCAAAAGAGTTAAGAGATGGAAGAAAATACTAGTTCTTGGATTTTCTTGGTAGAAAATTCAATGTGAATAAGCCTTTTTCAACGACTACCCATCACATGTTACTTTTTTATTTTTAGTTTTATTTCTAGTTTATGTAGAAGTTTTATCTATGGCTTCTGTTAACTAGTTACAACCTTAAGCTACATGAGGTCTGCGACCATGGAAAGGAAACTCTCTGCTCCCGGACCTCAGTAGTCCTCTTCAGAGAGCAACACCCAGTCTGGATCCAAAATATTCACTGAGTAATTTTGGCTTGCACTCAAAAAGGCCACTTGCATTTGTCCTAAGAGAGAAACCTGGGAAATAAAGGTTCTGTTATTGCATCCGTCCTTCAACACCATCTGAAGGAAGGGTCAGAAAAAAAACATATTCAGAGACTGTAATGTCATTTCTGAGTGCATCTTAATATTTCTTCTTCCTTCCCCAGTAATCTCCAACATCCATTCCATAGATACCACTTACAAAACAAACGACCAAACAAACAAAAAAACACTCAGGTTATATTTTCACAGCTAACAGAACAATAATAGGACAAGGAACCAATTTTGAAAGGAAAAAGAAAAGGTGAGCTTCTCTTCAGGTATCTGTCTCCTGGGTGAGAAGAGAGGACGTAAATAAGAGGTCAGGACAGAGAGAATAAAACCTACAGGTATAACCTTTTCCATTTCAGTCAAAGAAGTGCTACATTCTTACACAGTGCCAAGAATCCAACAGCTTTAGTTATTCATATAATATAAACTACACAAATAGAGGACAGAAATTACACCACACAGGTTACATTAAAAAGATTCCATGGTATGAAATTCGAACACAGATATCCTCAGGAAACTACAGAAATTTTGTGTGACCTTAGCTTATTAGTGATATATATAACAATGCAGTCATCCATTCCCACTTACACAAAGTAAAAGCGTTCGCATGCATGCAGAACTCTTGCCATTCAGATGAGGTCTGTGCGAGCCCTGTCCATCTCCTTGCACTGAAGCAGAATTAAAATCTAGGAACTACTTGTCTAAGCTGTTCTTAAAACCTCCAAGCAAGATGCCTAAGTAACACCACAACATGAATTCTAAGTATTCACAACTTCAGAAAAGTTGTTCTTAAAACTTCCAACAAATATTTCATGATTTCCAGATGCATCCTGTTAGAATTTTTTTTATTAATCTGTGACAAATTTTACTGCCAATTCAACTAACTATTCATTTTTCTGCACAGGCATATTAAAAATAAATCCATCTGCCCTCTTTACAACCCCTTTAATATAGTTAGAGACTTGCATCACCTCTGTCTTCAAAGCATCAGCCACTTCCAATTATTCCAATTGGTACTCATATATAACATTTCAGAGTCACTTATGATTCTTGTCACTGTGCTCTAGAATCTCTCAAATACATGTTTTCCTCAAACTGTGGTGCCCATGGTAGCCTAGAGTAAACCACCCAAGGACTCATCAGCTTCAACTGACTGGCAGAATTATCTCTTGTCTTTTATAGATGTAACCAAAAAATCTTTTTTTTTGTAGTTTGATGAAGGAACTAGGGTTTTTTAAATGGTACTCAACTGAATGAATGCATTTGTTTACGTTACATTTAACTATGAAACTAAATATTTTGTTCATTTTCAAGTTACACAAACTTTTACTTGTTACCTTTAACACCAAAAAATGCCATTTCAAATAAAAGTATTTCAATACTTCATCAAACTTATTTGCAAACCCTTGAAACTTCTTTTTAGCAGATTTAGCATTACTTGATAAGATTTCACCAAGCTCTACTTCCAGTTGGTTCTCATCCCCAAAAGCGACAAATACAATCCTTATTCCATTATCTAGCTTGTTACTGATGAGTGACAGAGTTACTCCAAACAAGAGAACTGAGACAGATCCTGTGGCATACACCAAAACATGCTTTTCCAATTTGACAGCAGCAGTAACTGCTCCTTAAAGACATTTCTTTAAACAAATGGGCATCCATTTTATGGTGATTCGATCTAGAACTTTTTTTTTTTAATTCTTGGCTTATGAAAACTGCCTTGAGAACCATGTAACAGTATTACTAAGGTAAAGATACAGAAAACGTTCTCTTCTTCTTCTATAATTACACGGCCTTTTGTCTTGTCAGAGAAGGAAGTCAGACTGATATATTCTTCATAAATTTGACAGCTCTTTCAATAATATTATTTGTCTCGATAGCTATAAATAGAACATTTTATATTTGTTCCACTCTTAATGCATACTCTTAATTTCTATTACTTTTTGAAAATCTGCATCTGCTAAAGAAATTCACAAGTAATTTCTAATAAATACCTCTGAAGGATATAGTGAACATGAACAAACACGAAGAACGATTTACTTATTATGAAAAACTTAGCAGATTCTTTTGCATTGTCTATACAAATTAAAATCTGAAAATAGATTCTTTATATGAATTAAACTGCTTTGCCTACGTAGCTCTTCAAAGGGGTTCTTCAGTCGGTCCACATTCCAAATTGATGTTCAATGTGGAAAGCAACTATCCTAAACACCACCAAGTTTTGTAAACACAGGGATCTGAATACAAAAAATAGTGCACCAAAAAAAATTATAGTTTAATTGTACTGTCTTGCTTCAGTTACTAGAGAGATAATATCAATATATCTCACGAGTCACCCACCTAAGACCTGCCAAAAGGTTAATCTTGAAGTTTGCATAAGAATTAGATTACTAAACAGAGCTTTGCAGATTGACAACTATACAAGTTAAGACAAGCAAAAACAAACCAACTTCTTTAGCTACAAATGCAACCAACAACATGCAGCCAAAAACGATCCTGAAGCATTTATGAGATTATAATCTGAGAAAGGAACAAAAATAAATCAACAAAGACGCTTGTTTGAGATCTACACTATTTGCATGCCCTGTACCTTGTCTGAAATCAGCTTTCCTAGGAATTTTCAAAAGATAGCACTTTGGCAAAGGGAACGATGAAAACATTGGCCAAGGATATGGATCACTGCCCTAGAAACATAACCAGAAAGAAATTAAGTTAGGAGATGAATTAATAGCATTTGCTTAATTAATACTGAGGTAAAGTTCACAGAACTATCGCCTATGCACCAAAACTATGCTTGATACTAGAACTTAAGATGAGATATTCCACAATTAAAATGAAAGTAAAAGGATACAAAAATCCAAAAAGCATTTGAACCAGAATCTGTGCTGGTAAACACCACTGACAGTTTTTAGCATTTTTTCCAACCAAAAGGGAAATTGCTGTTCTCAAAAAAAACAAAATAAAAACTGTATTTCCATTTTTATACATTGATCTAGCTGTCTTTGCTGTGCTGACAGTAATTTGCATCTCATCTTTATGAGAGTGACAGCCAGTGAGAAACAGAATACTTAAAGGAACTGCTTGACAAACACTGCACCGTTAGAACGCCAATGAAAGCTACAGGTATTAGATACTGCAGATGAAAATGTAGGTAAGGAAAAACCATCACATAAAAGGAAGGCATAACAGATGGAAAGCTAATAAAGAAAATATAGGAATATAAAAATAAAAATTAGGTGAACTGTATTCTTTCTCATGGTGGGAGAAGCAGCATTTAAATACACCAGAAAAAAATCTCATTTTAACATGGCATGTTCTAGGCACATGCCAAACCCCAAACGCCAGGAACAATACATTTTTTTTCAGTATATCTCCTCTTACAAATGTCAGCTCTTTATAAAACTAAAGGTGAGCTCTGCTTCCTAATGTTAAATAATATTCACATATTGAATTATCAAGAAAAAATTTCAATTAATAAAGGCAGCAGTTAAAATTTTTCACTCTAACCTTATCTAGTACTCTTAAAGGCAAAATCCTTTCCTGTGGTCCTCCAATAAGATTTATCCTAACAAGAACATGGTTTCTCTCAATTGACAGACCATCAATTATAAAATCTCTGGTGAAGAAAAAAAATGAAAAACAAAATCAGAATCACTTTGATTTACCATCATTTAATTCAGAAAATATTAAAGAACAAAAATAACTTTAGAGACACACCGGAGTTAAACTAAGACTCTGACAACACATAAGCATGAAGAAATAAACAGAAACATGGACTATTCTGAGAGGTCTGAAAGCACTGTCCTAACTTTTTACTCCCCCTATCTACTACTCATTGGAAACACCTATGCAATTAGTGGTCACGAGTAGAAAACTTTAGAACTGTTTTTATGCTCACATGCTCAGTCAGGGCAGAAGACTGCTAATGGAGCGTCAAATTTAGCTCCTAATTTGGCCAACCAGCAAATTTCTGCTTCCTTGAAAAAGCAGTTATTCAGAACTAAAGGCAAGCTCTACTTGTTGTCTGAAATCACTGTGTAGCTCAAGGTACAGAAGTTTTTAAAAGGAATAAAAATTAGCTTTTATATACCAAGTTTCTAAACCTCCGTTTAAGGAGTAGGTCTCATACTCAAGGGACATGTAACAGTGATTTATGTGTGCTGACATATAGCTCATATTGTTTGATTTAAGCTCTGTACCTGTCCCATACAGCAAGCAAGTGAAAAGTTCTTAACATTCAACATGCTGAGAAACAGCAAATAAACTATCTGTGAATGAATGCCTGCCACTGCCCTGCAAATACACTTTTCCTTTGAAAGCATGCATTGTGCAATTTTATTTAAAAGTCAACAGTGAAAAGGTACATAAATTGGAGAGTTGATTAAGTCATAAATACTAGAAACAAGATTTTGATGATACTTTTAA